TTATGTGTTTCAATTCCTTATTTAAGTCCTTACAATGACTAGTGAGTTTCTCAGCTCTGTTATTTAGACATTTGACTAAACCCGCTTTAACTGACACTGGATGAGATGACTTGAAGTCTAGATACCTGTTAGAATGTGTTGGTTTTCTGTAGACGGTAGTATCTAAACCACCATCTATCCTTCGTTTTATTCTGCAATCCAACATAGGTAATTCTCCTTGTTCATTTTCTACTTCGTAGGTGAATTGGATTGCGTTAACTACTGAGTTTATGTGTGTCAAGAAACTGTCGATATGTTCCGATTTCAACACTGTAAATGTGTCATCTACATATCGCCACCATATCTTAGGTGTCGGATTATATGTTCGTAAAGCCATATCTTCCCAACTATCCATAAATATATCTGCTACTATAGGGGATATTGGTGATCCCATTGCTACTCCTTCTGTTTGTCTGTATATCTTTCCCTGAAACTTGAAGACTGTCGAGGTTAAGCATAACTGCACTCCTAACATGATTTCACCAACCGATGCCTTGGTTCTTTGAGTAAGTTGTGAGTCAGTATCTAGTTGATTTCTGACTGCCTCCAGTGCCATATTGATTGGTATTTTAGTATAAAGACTTGTTACGTCAAAACTAACCATTTTTTCATCCTCTTCTATGTGCAGGTCATTAAGTTTTTGTTTCAACTCGTAAGAATTTACTAGTCTAGAGTTGGAACGGTCTCTAACAGGACGTAATACTGATGCTAAATACTTTGATATCTCATATGTTGGTGTGTTTCGGAAGTCAACTATCGGCCTAATGGGATAACCTGCTTTATGAACCTTAATAGTACCGTAAATTCTGCTAGGATTATTAGTTTTTGGCATTAAAGTAAACCATTCGGACTTACCTAGAGATGGCTTCAGTCGGCGTATCAGATCTGTTGTAGATTTCTTAATTTTATTCATGACAGTATCTATAGGTTTCTTAATCTCTTCATATGGCCCTGTTTGGATATGTTCATCCATTTTTTTAAGATAATCCGATTTGTCCATAACTACTGTTGAGTTACCTTTGTCAGATTTAGCAATTACTATACTATTATCCTTTCGTAGATTGTTTAAAGCTGAATTTTCCAGTTTCGTTAAGTTTCGCTGTGTCTTCTTTTGTTTTTTAAGTGCTAATGCACACTGCGCTCTAACCTGTTCAGCAGTTGTCACATCCACCGAGCTTAATGCTACTTCTATGCTAGGTATGACATCTTCTGGTTTTAGATGATCTACTGTTATGTTGAAGTTTAGTCCTTTTTCAAGTACTTTCATCTCAGCTGAGCTTAAGGCTTTCGAGGAGAGATTGACTACCCACTTTGTTCTATCGATGTTCGATGATGTTTCCTTTGTAATTTCATTGTTTTCCGAAGCATATTTTTCTTGCATTAGTTTATTGAACTTTTTGATTTGATTTCTTCTAGATTTCTTGAGAGTAGCTAATCTTGCTTTGTCTGATGTTTCTATTATAAATCCATAGTCTCTGCAGTTTACTATCTTCATAATTTTACATTTAAGTTGTTCAATTTTATTCCGAATGGTACTTAATTTCTTAATAATCCTGTGAATTTCTTCTTTCAGACATAGTTTGCTGACATGTTCTATTGCCCTTTGGATTTTGTCAGTATATATTGGGATTCGTATGCGAAGGTATTTAGGGATAATTTGATTTTTCATGCAACGAATATTGAAAATACGATGATTTGTGAAACGTGCTTCAGTTTGTGAAAGTCGTGTGAGTTTATTGATTAGCCTTCGAACAGGAAGACCATAAGTTTCATTAATATAAGTGAAAAACTTGGGCACTGTGGTAGAATGTAGTTCCATATTAGATTTGTTTATTTGATATAAAGCGCACAGTGATACAGTATTATTTACTTGATTACGTTTCGAGCATAAATTATTGCTCATAATCATATCAATGTAATCACACTTCTTTCGACATCTGATTTTATAGTCCTGTCACCTGATCTCTCTTTGTTTTTTTGTTTTTTGATTGGTAGTAAAGTTTTCCATATCTCTGGTATAGGTGTTGCGTCATTCCATTGATATGATTATGAGCAGTAATAATTTATGCTCGAAACGTAATCAATTAAATAATACTGTATCACTGTGCGCTTTATATCAAATAAACAAATCTAATATGGAACTACATTCTACCACAGTGCCCAAGTTTTTCACTTATATTTCATATAAATAGTTCGGCAAGTCCATGTGTGATCAGATTATTCGAAATGCATAGCGATAATACATCACGTGTTTCGGATATTTTATTATTATTATTATTATTTGTTCTTTGGGTTCCTAGTGGAATATAGAGCTTCAATTACAAGTCGCCAGTTCACCGTGTTCTCTGCAGTCTTTTGAACTTGGCTCCACCACTGCCCATAGACTTTCATTTCCTCCTCACACAATCTCCTCCATATCACCTTCGGACACCCAACTCGTCCTTTCTCATTTCGGTTCCACTTGACGGCCTGATGTCTCCAAACCGTCTTCTCAGTCTATGTCAAATCCAACTCATCTCCACGTCCTTCTTCTGCATGTTTGTTAGGCGACAGGTTCTTGCTTGACTCGTTGGTTCGTTGCCAGGCCACACTTCCTCCTTGTTTAATCTTGTTATTCTCGCCATACATTTGATCTCCATTTTCAGTATCAAGTGAGTGTAGGCGGCAACTGTTAATGAATGTGGGCAGTCTGTTGGTAATGCTTTTCATAACGCCCGAAGTCTCTCAACCATCATGTGGAAGCGCTGGCTTAACATTAGTGTTGAAAATCCGGATGTTGTTCACACTCTATGCTGAGTCAAGTGAAGTGCAGTATAGTGCAGTGCAATGTAGTAGATCTCCACACTGATTTCACATCAATGGAATAAGGCCTGTCTTGTTGTCTTTCCAATCCTGGTTGGTTGGCTTTGACATCCTCTTCTATGCCTGTACATGTGCCACCTGTAGTTGAGACGATGCTGCCTCCTAGGTAGGTAGGTAGGTAGGTGTGGGGTGGTAGGTAGGTGAGAGAGATAACTTGCTTCAGACTTCTCTCGTTGATGTTGATTGGTGCTTGTTGTTGTTGTAGGTTTTTGGGTATCTCGATCACCTGTGTCTGCTTTACATCCACCTGAAGGAAGTGCCGTCTGCACATCCTCTTCTATCAACTTGTTAGTTTTCGCCTGTAGATGTTTGAGTTTGTGCGACAAGACATTAGACATAAAACATCATCATGGGAGAGATGCAAATCTTCTAGAGTCTTTTCATCGGTCAAACAGGTAGTGTATATCCATCTTCTGGCTCCTCACAATTTGTTGCATAACCCAGTCCACTACAATCACGAAGATCATCATCAGTGGTGATAGTAGGCTACCTTGTCTTACCTGTCCACTTGTCTTCACTTCAAAGATATCACTGAGCTTTGCTTTGTGAATCTTTTGGCATGTAGTATCAGAAAGCAGATACCTGTTGAATGAGGTTGATAAGGATTTGTGGCAAAAAAAGCGTAGTTTTGAAGCAGCTGCCAAATTACTTCTCGATCAACGTTGTCGAAGCTCTTTCAAAGTCAATGAAGTTGAAGTAGAAAGTTGACTGCCATTCTACTGCAGTGGATATTATGTCATATTAAACCAGGGAAAATAGCACTGTGACAACTTTCACCTATGAAGTTTCATCGCAGTAGATATTTCTTCAGTACTGTTTCTCAATGCCCTCGTATATAAAACAATATCTGGAGTTTAGTGAAATGTTATCAAGGATATGAGCAGATAAAAATGAGGAGATAAATGTACCTCATTTTTCGTATGAATCTTTACTGAGTAGTTTCAATTGATGCAAATTAGACATACAAACCATAAGTTCATATAACTATATACAGGCCCGAAGATTAGCATGAATGATTTGACCATGGTATATTGTTTCTTTCAAGTCAGTGGAATTCATCTAACGGAAACATTCAATCTCCTCTGCTAGATGAACTTGTCTAGATATTCATTGTAATGATGACGTTTACCTTTTTTAGGTAGATCAGCTTTCTAATTTCTAGATCACTTTGTACTGGCTGGCGAAGTTTAAATCTGAACATGGCTACTTCCTTACTGCATATACTTTTCATTAATGTACAAATACATTAACTTCCCTTGAATCATTATTTGGGAAAAGAGTTTGGGTTCAGTTCAAAGTGGTAACCTACCTAAAAATGAGGCTGTAAATACATACAGTGTGTATGCTGAGTCATTGGCTCATTTTCCTAAGCGTAACTCGCAGTCTTCTACGTACCACCTTGCAACAGTGTACCTATAAGCTAAACGAAATCTGAACAACAGCTAGTCGTTAACTTATGGTGTCAGAGAATAAACCCGGTTCGTTCACGGTAACTTGCCACCAGCTTCATACACCATTTCTAGCTTCCACCCAAGCGCTAGACAGACAGTACTTTACATCACGAAGTCAGGGGAAGCAGTGTAATGCATTTGAAACTTTAATTATTCCCTTAACAGCTTTGCTTTATAGACTGCCCCATCTCTTCACTGTGAATCCTTACCGTCTAACAATGGTCTTTTATTACATTTCCTACGCTTACTGACTTGTCAATGCACATTTTTACTTCAACTCCTTTCTTCTCACATTCTAGCGGTCACCGGCAAACTCGCATTCTTCGAAGTACTAACCCTCCGATCATAGCAATGGAACAATAGACTAGACAGAAATCTGCCAACAGCTGGTCATTACGTGGTCATTATAGTTAGGTTAATATAACATGTCTAGGGTCCATTTTATGATCATAGAAAAGTATTCCTCTACTGATATGACTCAGAAGATAAAAATAAACTTGGTTCCTAGACGAATTAATTGATGATGGTAAATTAATCTCTGAGATAAGACATTAATGATGACGACTAGTACCATTACTACACTAAACAAAGAGTGATTTGGTACATATGTACATAAATGGGAAAATTTATGATCAAAGGAGTACTTACATGGGAAATTTGTTCCAGTTTTGATGTAGCGAATTCTAGCTTCTTTCTGTCAACATGATCATATGGTGTGTGAGCAAGCAATTCATGCAACGTAATAATATACCGAGGAATCTGGAATTGTTGAAAGAATTTTTCTCATGATAAATAAGGGAAAAATATTGCCAAGATAAACTACGCATGCACATAGATATATATGTGTGCGCATATACGTCAAAAAGTTAGCCGCAATACCAAACTAGGAGAAATCTCATTCTGTGATGATGACGTAATTGTAGGAAATAACAACTTTCGTTATAGTCTAATTAATCGTCAGGAGTTTAGGACGTGCGTTTCGTCCCATTTTAGACTCATCGGCCGGATGCGCTTGAACTCCAATGAGTGATATTATTCCCGCATGGACTCGAACCAAGTGCCCATTACTTCAAACACCAAACCGGTATCTAGTAGGCCAATGGGGCCCGAAAGCCACCACTTACGTAACATATTTCATGTGCTACTTATTGGTACTTGTAATTTCCCACTGCTGGCTCCCACCCAGCAAATTGCAACACACTTGCATAACCAGGCAATATCAAGGCATCGTTTGTCGGAGCCCATCTACCAACAGAGACGGATCAATTCCCTCTACAATAACGATGAATACAAATCGTAAGTGAAAAGTAAACAAATCTCGCAGGTGTATCGGTCAATGATAATTCCAACATTTTCGTTTGGTAGAGCAACAAAAAGCAACAGGGATTCTCTACCCACGTGGTTGAACGAAATTCAAGGTCAAAGAGGTCAAGGTATGGTAAAAATATCTTCTCTAACATCCTATTGGACAATATTTAAGGTCAATAAAAACACTATCTAAGGGTTTCCGTAACATTTGAATACGCTTGGCTTGTTTATTAACTAAGCGCTGGGAATGTCACCAAACCTGATGGTAGTGGAATATCCACGAGATAACATCAAAGCTCAGAGAACACCAAGCTGCCATAAACTCTATCTTAGTCGACTTATCGATATTCTCTAGTGTTATTTTCTTGTAGTACTTTATGGAACCGTATCAATCAACTATTCATTTGTTGTTAAATATGATTATTTGATGTAAACAATGCATTCTCTTTCATAATGGATAGCTGTATGCAAAAGACCAGAAAAACTTGAGGTCAGTTTATAGCAATCTATCACTTATAAGTGGAACGTGTTTTCCACATGCATGACGTTTCTGTTGTCTTAGCCATAAGCTTGGTGAGATTGACAAATTTGGAAGGAGTTTTGCTCATGAGACCGTTCAAGGGATATTTCGTCAAAATCGAAGAATAAAGTTGAACTCTACAGTAGAGTATAATCCCATGTTGGATTGGAGTGATACAGTAAAATTTACTGGATGACATTTCGAGCATAAGTTATTGGTCATATTCACATCATACAACTTCCAAACTTCCTTTATACAATTGAATGGTTCTTCAATCCTTTATAATGATGATTGATAGTAAAGTTTACCAGATATCTGTCACATGTGTTAGGTGATGGTTGATTCAATGAACTACGATTCGTGAACAATTTCTCCATCCAAATAGCTAAGTAGAATGGATTATAGAGACTCTTCACTGAAATACTTGTCTTCTCTCAAATTATTATGGGTATATTTCACACATTGAAATCTAGCAAGGACCCTACAACAATGAAGGAACTCAATGGGTTTCTGAAATAACCCTGTCAAGCTTGTTGAGGTCAATGACAGGATTAGTTTTTTAAATGACTGAACGACAACATTGACTCCATCATCTCACACATGCCAGAGTTAGAACGAAACATCTAACAATGATCTTTTTTGCTCTTTGAACACAAATTATTCACTGAATATGTCATTGCAATTACCAATAAGCGAATACAATCAGTGCAGTCAAGCTTATTAAATCCAGCGTAAATTTCCAGATGATCCCAAAAAATTTGTATTCAGTCATTCTTCAGTTTCACTATTCTACTTACAATTAGAGGACTTGTGGTTAGGGCCAAAATTTTGCGATAATAACCAATATATCAGCAAACACCATACATATGTTATCATTATTATTTTTCCCTTGGGTTCCTAGTGGAACATAGGGCTTCCGTAGCACGCCTCCATTGCACTTTGATCATACATATGTACAGTTTTAAAATTTAATTGGCCAAACTAGCGATCTTCTTCCGACTTCCAATCAAGAGTTTCGACGCTTCAAATCTACCATTAGAGACTTCTGACATCAGTACCTCAGCACAAAATCACAAGACAACAGCTTCTTAACAAAAGAACACAGAGAACAACTCAGATGGTTGATATACAACAAGGATTTGATAATTCCTGATAAGTGTGCGGGTGTTGTTATACTGGACAGAAATGTCTATATTAGCTAAATGTTGGTTCTGCTGTCGGACGAAAACTAATTCTATAAACCTGGTAATGGGCAAAATAAGACGGGACTGACTGAACAACAACTTACTAATATTTCGAAAAGCCTGAAAAACAATCAGCTACTAACCAATGATCTCTATGTACGCATCAAATCAACCGGGTCCACAATTCCACGATTTTATGGATTACCGAAAATTCACAAGGTTAGTCTACCCCTTCTTCCTATTCTAGACATGTCTGAATCTTCTTACCACCTAATCGTTAAATGGTTAGCCAAAATCCTAGAACCCCTGTAAGAAGACGAATCATCATTCACTCTTTAGGCGACACTTATGAAATTATTGATTGCATAAGAGACAAAGCCGTATCCAACAAATGTATGATATCACCTAATGTTGAGTCACTTTTCATCGATGTTCCACTTACCGAATCTATCTCATTCTTATGCAAATACATAGAAGATAACAACATAAATCTTTGGAGAAAGAACCTCTTGTCTTAAGAAACTGTTACTTAGATGTACACTCACGATCAGTTCAAATTTAACGACATGATTTACGTACAGAAAAATGTGTGTAAATTTGCGATTGTACAGCTTTGAAAATGAAATCACCGAAAAGAGACTCTTCGCTGAAATACTTGTCCTTCCTTTAGATTATAAAGTTGTCACTGTATCCCATCAACCAATAGTGTGATTACAGGTCAGTACAGAAAGTATTGAGGGAGACACAATCTATCATTGCACATTTCACTAATTCCCTGTCCTCTCCTATTCCGACTCACACTCATCCCCCCCACCCCCCCTGCTTTCAACTATATCCTCAACCTCACAATCATCACATACCATCTGATACATCACGGTTACTTCACTTATTTCACTCTACTGAATATCTTCACTTACCAAGTTCACTCTGATCCAGTTTGTGACTTTCAGTGACACTCTAATCTCAGTATTGTTAAGGCGATCTTATGTGAAATTCCCGATATTCCTTCTCCATACACCGACAATCGCTACACACGATTCCAATTTCCTCTTCAACATGTTACCGTCACCAGTAACATTAGCACACATCATCTTACCAGTCCTTAAATACTTGGTAATGAATTTCGGAGTGTAGTTGTTGAGGCGACACTGTACTCATTCAATGTTACGTGTAACTCCTGGTTGAAATACTGGGTTGGGTTTTTCTACCTGTGTTGGTGAATGGGTCTCGATACTGCTTGCATATTCATAATATTGTTGTGTATTTAGGTGGCTAGTAGTGGAATTGGGGATGTGCGTTTCATCCTGTTTGAGACTCATTGACTAGATGTAGCTGTATGTCAATGAGTTACGTTGTTCCCACTATCTATTGCTCTGAATGTCAGACCTCGAGTACTTTGACGCAGTACAGTAATAGGACATTTCAGGTCTCATGAATGAACCACAAGTGGCGTTTCACGTGCTCTAATAGCCTAGTGGATAACATGTTGACTCTGAACATCACTCAGTGTAGTGGAGTTTCACCCGACTGAGGAGTCGGAAATCAGATGGATGCGTCTTCTTGGATTTCACTGTCAGCCACCAAATAGACTGCAGTGTGGAGATAGTATTTTCGAAGAAGTACTGTGTAATGATTATGAGGTGAAGGAAGTATATGTTTCAGAGTATCGTGTGTGGGTCAGTGAGAAGAGTAGAGGAGAGACATTTAGAGAAGGACATAAGGCTGGACCTTAATGAGATATGAATGATTTGGAGAAGAGTTGGCTACCATTGTGGATGCTGTGACTAATAATCACACTACCATTTGTATGGATAGGGTAACAATTCTAAAATGTAATGTACCTGGATAATTGGAGGGAGTGGTTGATAATAAAGTCGTCGTTCATTGAATCAACCAGTACAGGAACGATTCATCATCACATATTGGAGATATCTGGAAGACTTAACTATCATACCATTAAGATAAGGGAATGGATAACCTTTGGACTATATACAGGAGATTTGGAAGTTGTACGATTACTTTGATATGAATATGAATATGTATATAACTTGTGGTGGGAATGTCATCCAGTTAAAAAACACTGCATAGCTGTTATGTCCTTATCCAGTTCTCTTCAATAGTGCACGCCGAGATTCAATGAGGGCGAGAGTCTAGAATTACTGTCTTCTGTAGCAGGTATATCAGTATTCAGTCAGCTGGCTGAAACCTGTCGATTCATGACGCTATGTGTTTATCATTCAGGTCATTTACAAGGATTTTTCTGACTCCATACTTTATGGCTTCCAACTACAACGTTCAGAAATCCACCTTAAAGTATCCGATTATTAAGATTAACCATTTCTTTATAAAGCAATCAGTTCATCAGTGATTCTATGCTTGTCAGTATTCATATCAAGATAGAACTGGCAAGGTTCTGATGGAGAGCCATGACCCATAAAATCAACAAAGTTGGAAGCTTAGTAAGAAAGAAATCAGATGACTTTTGCCCTGCCCTGCTGACTAACATATTTTGGAGAAAGGGGACCATAGGATGCCAACCAACCAGTTGAATTCTAAAATGTCAGCTGCATTGATTGTACATTTCGGCTTAGGTCAGTTACAGGGTCACTGGTGTTCACTGCTGACGCGTAAACAAATAGAGGGAAACATTTGTGTTTTTGTTATAGTTTTTTAGTGTTTCTGTAAATAATACCAATCCATGGTAAGTTCTACCTTAGTCCAGAAATCATTGGCAGCAGTTTCCTAGTGCTGTCACATTTTGTCATTTTGTCAACACTTAATCCATCTTTGAGGTGGTATTCATCACTTGGAGAACCATAGAAGACCACTTGGGAGAATCGGACAACTGTTCCATTCCAGTATGGGATTCCTGAGCAGTACGCATCCACGACTCGACTAAGGATTGAACTCAAGGCCTTTTGGTTCCACAGAGAACCCATTAGCCATTCAGTCACCGTGTAGGAGTTCAGTGGTTCACAGTTTCCAACTCCTGTCAATTCTCGATATAGCATCCGCTTTCCTTCCGACTGGTTGAACCCACAAGTCACGGTTTCTCATATCCATCTGGAAGCACAATACAGTAATGTATTTTGATGTGAATGGGGATTTTAGTTTTCACCGATTACTAAGGAGTCACATACTCCGACAAAACAGCTGTTCAGTGCTACTAGGTGATTTTTAATAGTTTTCTAACTGATGTCAGCCCATGATGAATACTACCTCAAAACTGGAATCCCGATTTACCTCAAAATACATTCGCCGTGGAACCTGAAGGTCCTTAGTTCGATCCCTAGCCGAGTCGTGGGTGCGTACTGCGTACTGCTAGGACGAAACAGCTGTCCAGTGCTCCCAGATTTTCAATGGTCCCCCAACTTATGTCATTCCATGATGAATACTGCTTCTTAAATTAATCTATATGTTTGAATCTTAAAGTTTGAAACGTATATCAACTTCCTTGAGATTAACTATCCATTTAACTGAACATAACTCATCGCCTCAGAAGAATGAATGGAAAGCTTTCTAACACTGACTCTGATTATTTCAACTTGAAACTTACAAACAAAACAACAAATTTGAGTAAAGTGTTTGTTGATACCTTGAAGGTTGCAACACGAGGTCAGCTGGCTATTTTTTCTTTCGCTCGAAAGGATTTACTACATTTTGTAAGAGAATTCATTAGAATAAAATAAGCCATAACGGGACAGATGTTAGGCTGTTCTCAAGTGATTTCATTCCTAAGAACTAGGTTGGCTGATATTGAATCGTCAGTGCCTGGAGAATTCCAACGCAGTAATGGCTAACCTATGAAATTCATGCAGAAGTACTGGAAAAGCGATGAGAAGAGAGCGAGATGTTTTAGTGTTGAAAAGAAACCAGTGTTTTTTACTTTGACTTTCAAAAGAGATGATGCGACGACAAGAATCAACAGGTGAATAAAGAATGCACAGTCCAGGACCCATCCGGTTGAGAGATTTGTCTGACTGTACCAAACAACTTGTGCAATTACACAATCCAAATTAGACAAAACTATAACTCTTCTCAGTTTCAACTGTATTAATCAGTTCACAGGTACTTAGGAAAAACAGAATGGCGATCGGTTACAGTATTCTCGAACACCTGCCAAGTAGTCTACATCTCAGATGTCTATTCCCACTCACTAGCGCAATTGGCCCTCACTTATGTGATACGGGGCATCAAGTAGATGCTATGAAATCCTTCATCTACTTTAAACCATCGAAGCTGTCACAGTCGGATTAGTTCAGACTGAACTGTGTGTTGAAAACCATACATTTACAAATGATTATCTTTTTGACTATTCGAGATAGCCATAGTTTTGGCAGACTCGCATTCATAATAGGTGATGATTGAAGATGAAATGGAAATGTAGACGACTACCGGATTCGAACAAACCACCACCGGGTTTCCAGCCTGATGCTCTACCAGCTGACCTACAAGGTCCGACTGCTGACCAGATCTTTATTTCACTTCAATCATCATAGGTTTCGTCCGAATACCATATGAATTCATGATGCGTTACGATCGCTTGATGGTATTCACACTGGTTGCCTAGTCAGGACTTCTCATCCAAATCTAAATCAAAGTGACTTAGAGAGGGGAGGGGCATCATACTGATCATCATTTTGACTATTTCAGATGGTCATAGTTTGGCAAATATATGAACGTCAGTGCTAGCCAGTGAGGTACCAATGTTACTCTGTGCAGACAATAACACGCTATTGAGCTGAAAATTTGTGAGGCTTGGTTTTACAGTTTTATCGTTTAACAGTTATTGAGCGTTTTCTTGGATACAATTTATTTCTGTTTAGATAGTGTGATTAAAAGAGGAAATTTATCTGAAAAATGTAAGTAATGTATTTGTGCAATACATATTTCGAACAATCTGATTGCACGCACATTTACTTATCAAGTCAATTTATATGAAAACTCGAGAGTGGGAGGACAAATACAACAATTAACACAATAGGGGATTAAAATTAAGATAAGAACAAAGGTGAAGTAGACAATGTTTATCAAGGGGTAGGTGTAGTGTAAGAACAAATTGTTTTTGTACACATAAATGTGGTTTCAATATGTATGTTGCTATGGCTTCTACAAACCTCAGTATACTTCCCTGTTTGTTTCGATATAAAACTTTGAAAGGTGTTTGTGCAATGATTTTGTGACCCGTTTCTATAGTATGTTTAGCTGTAGGTAGAGAGAGTGGTCTGCCATCAGTGTTTATCACGGTTACCCACTCAACATGTTTTTGAAGTCATTCAAGCGTATGCTCTCCCACCCTCACGTGTACAACCACATACATATGTAAACTGGTAAACCCAAAAGGATGTGACGTAATTTGTATACTTTTTTGTCCTTTCCACAAAGATAATCTTTATTGTATAACATATCTTTGCTAATGATCGGTGTTAGCCTACATTACAAAATTACGCCGTCCAACTCTTCGCTGTATTGTAAAATATATATGGCCACTTTTCTTAGGGAACTGTGTATTCAATGGGTTTAGGTGTTACCTGACTTCTGCAATGAATATCCGTTTTCTATAGGTGATCCGCTCAGTAATTTGATAATTTCATCCATCGTATCTGATGCACTGGTTAGACAGATCCCATAAAACAGGCATTTTATTAGACCTCACTTTTATTGGATCCGACAAAAGCTGTGAAAATTCACATAATGTTCTGTCTATTTGGGATTTCTGCGGACAGACCGTCTTTTTGAACTACCTTCTGGTCGACTCAAGAGTATATAATAGTAGAGGATTATTATTCCCTTTCTCACAAGTCAGTCTAGTATGAGTTTGTGCGATGATTGGAAGAGGCTTAAATGGAAATCATTATCTCAATTTATCAGCCTCTTAGGCAGAAATCTTGGATTTCAACTTGGTTTCATGTTACTGTGTGGTCAGGAAAAACCTTAGTGGATAATTTTGTTTCACGGCTAGCCAGTCAGAATAGGTTATCTAACTTTGACCTATTGGTTTCATATGTTCATCAAAACTGTATTTAAATGATACATTTTTGTCGGATGAAGTTTGTTCCTAACAGTCAAAGGTCGGTCTTTGTCTTCTGATTTTCGCGTCTGAGTGAAGTAATAGGTCTGAGGCAGAACAGTCACTATTATTATCCAATCCAAGTATCTCATCACGTTTCTATTATTGGTATTCACTCGGTCACTTCATACGGTTTTAGGTCTTTTTAGTAGACAAACCATATCCTCATTCTTCTCATAAATGTCTATGACTTCGTCGACATGTCTCTTATAAAGTGTACCCTAACGGATGAGAATACCACCCAGATTTTTGATATATGACTTATTAACTTCGGCTAGTAATGGTTCTAAGGTACGGATTTCACACACTAGTGTCAGTCAAGTTAGTGCTCCTATGTGATGGTTGAGAGACTTAGTGCCTTACAAAAAGCATTTCCTACAAACTGCAAACATGTATGAACAACTGCCGCCTGCACTCAATCGATAATGAAGATAGAGATGAGATGGTCAGAATAATAAGAATAAGTAACAAGGAACTCTGACAACGGACCAGCCAAGAACCCATCGTCCAACAAATATGCAGAAGAAATTGGAGATGGTTTGGATTGGGCATACATTGAGAAGACCTTCCGGGGACATTATGAGCCAGGCTAAACCATGAAGTGGAAGTGAAATGAGAAACAACGAGTTGGGCATCCGAGTATGACATGGAGGAGATGGTGTATGAGGAAAAAAAATGAAAGCTTATGGGCAGTCATGGAGCCAGGTTAAAATGACTACAGAGAACAAAGTGAATTGGTGACATGCTACTAAAGCCCTTTGTTCCACTCGGAACCCAATGAACAAGTAGTAATAACAATAGAAGAAGAAAAAGGTGGATAATTTTTTTAGCTTACCTGATGCATTGGATAAGTTAGAAATGATTCAATTGATCTGCCTTCACATAATGGTTTCTCTTCTAAGCGTTTTAGCATATGCGTAAATTCTGGACGTTGTTTATATTCCGCTAGCACTTGTAAAGAATAATGATGATTACGTACATATTCTTGATAAATTCCCAACATTGGTAATAATAAATCAAAAAGATCACCTTTGATGCGTAAAGGAAAAGAGAGAGAGAGAGGGAGTAGAACTAAGTTAACAATGAACAACAGATGAAAGTTTCAGCATTCAACAGTATACCTCAGAGAAGAGAATAGACTATGAAATTGCTTAGTTGTCAATCGATAATACTGTTTCACGTGTCCCAGTTGTATCGTTATTGAATATTGGCTCAGAGTTAAGCTACATATCAGTAGCAATGCAATCATATGAAAATAAATACTTCTGCGACAGCCCCCTTTCGAGGCTTCAATGGATTCACATTCTCAGGATGATCGGGTCGTTTGATCGTACTAGCCTCCTCGTGGACATACCTGTGCAAGATACCTTACACTGAGTCTCCCCACAATCTAACAAAAAGTGATGCAGACCACCTTCTTGAAAGGCTATCTTCCTGTGACCAACATTTTAGACACGAAGGCTGCTCTCAGGCTACTTGTCACAGTTCAGCGTTATAGTAAAATGATACCCGAAATTATGGGTCAAACACCTCTCATCTTCACAAGGCTGACCACATCATTTATATTGGGACTACTTCAAATACGATGACTACCAGAATTAGGAAGTTAGATTTTCTTGCCTTTCTGCTGCACTGCTCCTGGCCCATTGAGAGCAATCCTGACGGTGTCTTGGCCACGTGGAGGCTCGTCGCCATTGCATAACTAGGCTCAACCCGTAATCACCATTGCACACGCCACTGGCCAGCAACTGAAACAGCAACATCCTTTAATCGCATCGTTCAGAGCTTCTTTACCTTGATGCATTGGCATGTAACTGTAGCAGAGCCATTTGACTATCATAAGAGAGTCAAAGTTACTTTCACTATACATATCGTGTTACTTACAGTTGAAAAAGAGTAGTTTGGGGAGGGAACGGTGCCTTCTGAAACTCAATACTAGCCCACTTAAAACTTGAGGAAATTTTGTTTTAGTTGTTCAAGGTTAACAAGTATTCATCTAGGTGGACCGCCATGCTGAAACGATAACCAAGGTCAAGATAGAATTGGAAGCCTTGTCGGCAGAGAAGGAATGTAGGAATATCGATAGCGTAATTAAAAGACGAAGCTTATCTGAACGATGAGATGTATTTGCGCAATATATTTCGAACGATCTGATATAATTTAATTTTTATGAATAAAACTTGGGCACTGTGGTCGATTGTAGTCTGTTCATTAGAAATATCATACAGTGAAACAGTAGCATTTACTCAATAACAACGTTTCGGACACTATTTATTGTCCATATTCATATGAGGTAACTGACTCCACAACTTCGAGACAGACTTTATATATTCACAATTTCCTCTCCTTCTCTCTGATGACGAGGATAGTAGAAGTTTCCTTGTCATCAGAGAGAAGGAGAGGAAACTGTGAATATATAAGGTCTATCTCGAAGTTGTGGGGTCAGTTACCTACCTCACTTAGAGGTAAGCTTTGTCGGCTAAAAGATCCGATAGAACCAATTAAGCAAAATAATATAATCTACCAAATTCCATGTAATGACTGTGAAGTCAAATACATAGGTCAAACTAGCCGGTCGGGGTCAGTTAGATTAACAGAACATAGGAATTTAGCTAAACATAGAACGGCAGACCCCAATAAGATCAATAACCTAGAAAAAAACACTCAGCCATTGCATTACATTCGTTAACACACAACCACACAATAGGGTGGGACAAAACCACTGTACTTAAGTCTAATATAGCTAGGTGGAGAGAGAGATTAATTACTGAATCTTTGTTCATCGAATCCACACCCAACACATGTGGAATAGGAATGACGCAACACCTATACCAGAGATATGGAAAACTTTACTACCAATCAAAAAACAAAAAAACAAAGAGAGATCAGGTGACAGGACTATAAAATCAGATATCGAAAGTGTTGTGTGATTACATTGATGTGATGATTATGAGCAGTAATAATTTATGCTCGAAACGTAATCAAGTAAATAATACTGTATCACTGTGTGCTATACATCAAATGAACAAATCTAATATGGAAGTACAATAAATTGTGTCCGAAATGTTATCTAGTATATGCAACTATTCCACTGTGTGATATTTCTAATGAGCAGACTAAAATGGAATCATACATTTACTTGTCAAGTCAATTTATATGAAAACTCGAAAGTGGGAGGACAAATACAACAATTAACACAATAGGGGATTAAAATTAAGAAAGATGAGAACAAAGGGGAAGTGACAATGTTTACCAAGGGGTAGGTGTAGTGTAAGAACAAATTGTTTTTGTACACATAAATGTGGTTTCAATATGTGTTTAGCTATGGCTTCCGCAAATCTCAGTATACTTCCCTGTTTGTTTCGATATAAAACTTTGAAAGGTGTTTGTGGAATAATTTTGTGACCCGTTTCTATAGTATGTTTAGCTGTAGGTAGAGAGGGTGGTCTGCCATCAGTGTTTATCATGGTTTCACACCCCATCTGATTTTGAAGCCTCTTAGGTACATGTTCTCCCACATTCAACTGCATAACTCGACTACTCTTCCGTATATGTGTGACCACATGCACACACATGTAAATTGGTAAATACAGTGGGATGTGAAGTAATCACTGGTACAGTACTTAGGTTTATGGTGAAGTGTATGTTTTATTTCTTCCACAATGATAAGATTCTCCGCGTAATATGTTTTCTTAATGGCTGATGTCAGCCTACGTCTGAAAATGATACCATTCAACTCCCCTCTGTATGGTATAGTGATATGGACGCTTTTCTTAGGAACCATGCATAGAGTTGGCTTCGGTGCTACTTGATCTCTACAACGGTGTATAAACTTCATGGGATATTCATTTTCCATAAGCGCTTTCATCAGTAGTTTGATATATTTATCTATCGTATCTGGTTTACTGATAGGATAGATCCTATTAAATAGGGATTTTATTAGACATCGATTGTGTTGGATCGGATATAACTGAAATTTTAGGCATTTTCCTGTCTATGTAGACTTTCTGCAAACTGACCGTCCTATCGAAGCGTCTTCTCGTCGACTCAGAAGTACATCTAGAAGTGGCAGTTGATTATTATTCTCTTCTTAACAAGTCAGGTTGATGTGAGTTTGTACGGTGTTAAATCTGTTTAGTAAACCACCCATATTCTCATGTCTCTCACAAATCACTATGATGTCATCAACAGATCTCTTGTAAAGAGGAACTTTAGCGATGAGATGTTTGAAGCAAGATTTTTGATATATGATATAAATATCAGCTAGTAGCGGTCCTAAGTGACTTCCTATAGCTACATGGTCAACTTGTCAAAAGCGTTCACCTTCCAATGTGAAGTGGAATTTGTCGGTAAACAGCAATAATAACTCCTTCAGAAAGGTTGAAGTAATAGGAGGTAATAGGAGGTTTCTAGAGGATATATAGTCACAGAGAATGCTAATAGTCTTGGACAATGGCACGTTGGTGAATAAGCAATTTCTATCGAAACAGTACATAATCTTGTTTTTTATATTCATGTTACTAAGACAGTTAACAATTTCAAGTTGTTATTCATCGAAGACTGACATCAGTTGGAGGAACAAAGGAGGAACAAAGGCCGTGAGGACAAATACTCAACGATGACATTGGGTGGCGGTTTGCGCTATATCGTGAGCTAACAGAAGTTGGAAATATGGAGCATTGGATTCTGACCCAGTGGCTCAATGGTAACGCGCTGGTCGCGGAACCTGAAGGTCGCGGGTTCGACCCCTGCTGGTGGGGTCGTGGGTGCGCACTGCTGAGGAGTCCCATACTAGGACGAAACAGCTGTCCAGTGCTCCCAGGTTTCCTTTGTTCCTCCAACTGATGTCAGTGTACGATGAATAACAACTTGAAATATTTCCAAATCTCCACAACCCCCTCAAAATTTAAGTTAACAATTTGAAAACAATCTTTCAATGAAAACTGACAGAATTCATTTCGAAATGGATTTAACATTTTCACCAACCATTTTGTCAGTTTATATGTATGTGTGTGGGGGGGGGATGGGAACGACAGATAGACAATGTAAGGTGTAAACGATTATTAGCTTTATGAATTTTAGGTAGTCCATATAAATATGGAAATACAGATCCCATAGGTTTCAATGAATTAAATTCCTCTTTGCTAATGGCATTCATACTCAAAAGTTTTATTAAACGAGTGGTTATATTTGCTTGCAATTTTTCTAATATCTTCTGATGAGACATAAGCTATGAATATGCTTCTTTCATCGCTGAGGATGGATAGCATTTTATTTTTATAGTCAGATTTATTCATCACAACAATACCTGCTCTCTTATGGGAATGGATTGTCAGGGTGACAGTATCGTGGAAAGTTTTATCAGTCGATATTAATTTACTCGTATTTCAAGTTGTTATACATCGTAGACTGACATCAGTTAGAGGAACAAAGGAAACCTGGGGGCACTGGACAGGTGTTTCATCCTAGTATGGGACTCCTCAGCAGTGTGTACCCACGACCTTTAGGTTCCGTGGCCAGCACGTTACCATTGAGCCACTGGATCGGTGGAATCCAATGGTCCATATTTCCAACTTTTGTAGTTTGAGGTGAATCGAAAGTTAAGTGGATGTCAACTGAAGACTTTGATGCATAGTGGCGCTACATGATGAGTTGATACAGCTAGAGAAATGTGGACAAGATCCAGTGACTGAGTGGTTCATGCAGTTACCATGAGACCTGAAAGTTCTGAGTACGATCTCCAGCTGAATTGTGAGTATGTATTGTTGAGAAGTCCGACAGTAAGACGAAACAGCTGCCCAGTGCACCAAGGTTTTCACTGGTTCTCTAGCTGACTTAAGTTTGTGATGAATCCTACCATGTGATTTAATAGTTTCGTCCAACGAGTAGAGTAAACTCATTACTTCTTAGGAAAAGACGAAAATGGTCCTTTCACCGAAAAAAATGTTCATTTATGACAATTTCCACCGCTTAGCTGTACATTCATAATGAAGGATTTGTAAGGACAGAACATTCCAGAATTACTTCAG